AAGCACCATAAAAACAAATGTAATCAAAACAGACTTTCATGGTATGTAGATGAAATATATTAATTATAATATGAAACTATTGAGTTCAAACCAGCCTTTGAGCCACATATTTTCTGCAGACTTCTCTCTAGCCAAGAAATCTTAATTCCACATTGCAAAGTTTTGAAAACTATGAATATTCCACACATTATAGCAGAGAGCATTTCTCCCCACCATATATATTGAGGCATAGATTTATTAAGTGCTGACAGTTAACTTTCACAAGACTCTCAGGGAGATCTGGCCCTTATTCGTTGAATTTACAAAAACTGAGCTGAAGGAGCCAGGAAACACAAATGTATTTTATTATTATTTAAATAATGAATTTGTGATAGCATTTCACTCTGAAGCAATAGTAAGCCTTGCAGGCAAATGCCTCATTCAGTAAAGATCTGAAAATTATTTTTGTTTAAATAACAGCTGGTCTTGCCTATCCGGACTTAAATGAGTCATGTGGAGACAAACTTGCTTCAGTTTGGGTAAGAAAGATTAAAAAACATTAATTCTAGTTAATATCCATTTTGGTCCCTCTACACAGATGGGAAAAATAATGTTCAATTACCATGCTTACATACAGCCAATACCAGACACCCAGTAACGCACAAATCCAAAGCCCTGCTCACAACGCAACCGAGGCGCAGAGCTCCCGCAGAAGAGCTCAGCTGTGGGTTACCCCGAAACAAAGGAGGTTTACATCCATTCCTCCGCTTTGCCACAGACTTCCTGCGTGACCTTGGACAAGCCACTTGTTTTTTTGTGTGCTGCAGCTCCCCATCCCTAAAACGTTTTCCCCCATTTATTTCATAATCTCACAGCAATTAGCAGATTTACTATCAGGAGATGTTTAGATACAGAGGTCAAATAAATGACATAAAGAGAATAAACAGTACTTAAGTTCTGTTAAAGCTTTCAAAACCTTGTCACAGTGACAGAAGGAAAGCTTTGGCACAATACAAGTGTTATCTACAAACAAAGATCAGGTCTGCCTACGTAGCAAGATGGAGCCTTATTTTGACATCTGCAGAGAGACGCGGGCGCAGACTTCCATGACCCAACACACAGACACGACATACTCCTCTATCACCAACATGTAGAGAAGACCAAAAATCTAGGTACCTTCTTTGAGTTCTAAAACGAGAGTTAAAACTTCCTGATACAATACAAAGTAGGAAGAGAAATCACCAGGTACCCTTTTAAAAGGTTTGAAACACTTCAGGTCCAAACAGTTAACTCTCCAATTCATATTAACCACTAACCACCCTTTGAACTCGAAAGCCACAAGTTTCATAACTCAGTATTAATATCAGAAGTCAAATCACCTCGCAGACAACAGAAAATTAAAGACCTCTGGAGCAACAGCTTACCGAAAACAATGAAGAAGGCAAGAACTACTCAGAAGTAGCTGAACGCTACCCGTACACTACACTAGGACACTTATGAGGACAGCATTGCCTCCATCAGAAATCCACAAATTTGAAAAGTGTATTAAATACGCCTTTTTAGAAAATGTCTTCAAGTCCAAAAAATCTACTTTTTGAATGCAGGCCAAACATACACTGTTTCCACGCACATATTCTGCACCTCTCTACAAGTGACTGTACTAGCCTGTGTAAAATCAAAATCACAGCCTGGGGAGGGAGACATAAGGGGCAAAGGGACTATGCGGGATGATGAAGCAGTCAATGAGAGATGAGCACCGGTAAGCATTTGGGGGACACAGGCAAGCTATGGAAAACCAGAAGCAAGGAAACTAGTGAGGGGAGAGGAAGTTCTGGGATAAACTTCCCCTCATATTACCCACATATGTGTAAAACCCACACAGCTGCTCAATCACAGGGTGTTGAGTGTGTTTGGGGTCTGGTTCAGGTTGGGGTTTTTTTGTTTTGTTTTGTTTTTTTTAACAGATAATCTGTGGGTTACACACATGAAAATACGGTCACTGCAAAAATAAAAATGAAACTAATTTGTTTTTAAGCTATTTTGTTTGAAATATCAAATGTTTTTCATTATTTGTAATTGCATCTTATATGTGGTGTTTTATAAGAAGAAAAATAAAACAGTTCTTACTAAAAATCATTTACAACCTAAAGCTTTTTCTTTCAATATGCAGAGCTGCTGTTAAATGTCTTGAACTCCCATTACTGCAATAAGACTGGAAGAAGCACAGCACTTTGCAATGAGGCCAAAAATTAAAGCACGGCTAACAATGAACTGCTATTGAACATGGGCACGGCACAGGGGAAAACACAAAGACAGTGGTGAGGGGTATAAGAACACACATCCAGGAGAAAATAAGAATATTGCATTTCCAACATAACACAGGATACACTTTTGGACGCACATTCTCAAATGTGACTTCTGAGACTTTGGCACCCGTAAAGCTGGCAGCGAAATAGGTAGTACCTGGTATTATACACAGCTCCCCGAATATGTACATTTCGAGATTAGTCTTGCAGGAGAGAGTGAGATGCCCAAAAGCAAAGGACTGCCCCCCCACTAGTGACACCTGAAAAAAGTCTGTAGAGGCACAAAGGCAGCAGAGAGATGAGGGGCTGGAGGTCAGAGGAAAGGTGAGGATAGGCAAAGTCATGAAGGCAGGAAATTGAAACTGAGTTCTGGAACTATGTATTTAATACCTCCCTCACAGCATGCTAATAATGTTCATACGAACGGGAAAAATAAAAAAAAATAAAGGAAAGCAGTGACACTGTTAGCAGGCTTCCCCAGAGCAAATTTTGGCAATGTTAAACATCATGCAGCAACCAGAGTTTCTCACTTGCTTAATCTCCTCACACTCTCCAATTGACTATTTCTATTTCTTTTTCCACAAGAGGTGAACTTTCCCCGTGACTGCGATAGCTGAAACTCATCTCATGGTTGCGGCAATCAGCACCTGCCTACCCTTTTACAAACCAGCTGCTACAGAAGCAAACTCCCGGTGCCTGACTGTGCAATCGGAACCTCGTTAGCCATAAGCGGAGCTGTTCTCCTTCACTCTCAGCGCTACCTTTACTGAAGTAAGATGACTTCACCCCAAGATGAGCAATACCAAAACTCCTTTGGTCACACACACACAAACCCCTCCATTCACATTTTCCTACCTATTAACATATTCAGAGACAGTAACAATTACACCAGTTTCATGTATTATTTGCAAGAGTTGCCAGCCTTCACTGTCACTCATTTGAAGGTCGGAAGGAACGCAGAATACTTCTGATTGCATTATGGGCGAAGATTAATCACCACTACTTGTGCTGTGAACTAATTTTTACCATTAGAAGTATTTATAAAGGCTGAAACAACACAAACTTAGTATGTGGGCCTTGAAGTGCATTATCCTCAGTGGTTTATGTAATTAAAAAAAGAAAAAAATCAAAACCACATTCTATTTTGACAGGTGGTCTGCTAGCTCATCTTTACCTGTGAATGATGCCAGTTGAAACAAGGACAAATTAGGGTTCTAATATTATTTACGCAAACCTTCGGATGAAACCTGCAATCTGACATACTCATATACTATCGTGACTTCTGGATAGATTTGCAAAGTTCAGACCGCAGTCCCAGCAGCTTGATCATCCAGACTCAGTTACCTACAAAGCAAGCCACAGTGCCTTTCTGAGCTGTGCTTCTGGGTTTCTTTCCCATGAAAATCAGGTTATGGTGGGAGGAGGGAAAAGCAGGTGGACTTCATCCTGACACAGGACCTGAACCAGGATGCAGACAGGACGGACACCTCCAGCCCAAAAGGTGGAAACTCTTGTGATATTCAGGTAGTCATTACTATCACTAAAACAATATTGTCACAGCTAAAGATTTCAGAGCTCATCGGTTATCTTCCAGACAGCACAAAAACCTTAGCATCAGCATAGACCTCTACTCACATGCCTCATCCCATCCCTCCTTTCATTAATGATGATCCTGGGGACTGGTACTGAAAGGGTGGCTCTGGACCTGTCAGGCTAACTCTCGTGCTAATGCCTCCCTGCAGACTAACAGCGGCAAAAAGCTTCAATAAAAGGGTTCACGTGCATTTGTGGGTGGCAACTCAGTACTAAAAAGACCAACTTAAATAGTTATTTATAAACAGAGTTTTCTCTGATTTCTACTATTACCAACACCGAAAGGCCTCAAACCTCAGCCACAGCAAGACAGGAACAGAGTTGTGCTTTGGCAACTACAGCATAGACCAGACCAAAAACCGCTTTCCTCTCAAATGAACAAGCACAACCAAAGATGTTACACTACTACTGCCTCCTCTCCAAATGCAAAGAGGCTTGGGCCACCATGCAATGAACCAAATCAACCTGCTAGATGTTTTAAACAAACAGTACAAGTTTCTAAAACATACTTAAAACCAAGCTGCTCTATAAAGGGCAACAGAATATCCCTGTTTGTTATTTCATCAGCTAACATGTGTGCTCCCGTAGGGCACCCACTGAGCAACAAATTCACGCTTCTCCTCCACTGCAAGTTACCGTTCACAACAGAACTCTCTGAGCTAAAAAGCTCGTAGCATTTTACTATTCTCTGCTTCCTTGGCAGGGCTCTTATTTATATAAGATTAGTGCAGTCAGGCATTAGATTTATAAAACAGAAAAAACAAACAAGGAGAAAGTTTTCACGCTCTTCTTTATAGGGCAGTTTCGGAAACATACACACAAAGCACTATAACAGATTGAAATGCAATTTAAAAAAAAAAAAAAACAAAAACAAAAAACCAAAACACAAGACAACCCTCAAAACAAACAGAAAACTCTTATCAAAACACATTTAATCTCTGAAAGCCCCCCTACCTGGAAACTATTTAAAAGTCCTCCAAGCATTCACAAAAGTACTGTCAGCCACCTGAAGAGCCATTCCTCTGCTCTGTCCCGAGCCTCTGAGGACAGCTACAACACGCACAGGCACACTTCAGCCCCTCACCTTCCCCCACCCTCCTCAGGGAAGGAATCGACACCAACCTGCAGTTGGGAGGTGGATCTAAGGTGATGTCAGCCAATTCCTTCTGAATCCTGTGGCAATAAAAGCAAGAAAGAACAAAGGTAAGTCACTGTGTGGGATGGCAGTTAACACATACGCCTCACAGACATACTGTCACCGCCAGTTTGCAGCACCACAAAAGAGAGGGCCACTCTCAGCTGCAGCCTCCCACCCAGTCCTAACGCACTAAGCAGGACAGGCCCCCTGTTACAGAGACGGTCCTAAAAGCAGACAGGCACTGAGCTCTGAACCCAGCCAGGTGCACTGTTGTATGCTCCCATGAAGATGCCAGCCACACAGGGGCAGTGGAAAAGACTGTCTGCTTTACTCTGCCAGCCAGCCTGTAAATGAGGGAAAACCTCTGCAAATGCAGCGCACCAAGCGCTAGGAGGAAACAGCAGTCTGAAAAGGAATTTTGTCTCGCCGGATTGAGAGAAACAGTCATTGCCAAATTGGCTCTCCCCCTCTCCCCCCCAGCTTTCCATCACCATCCTGAGAAAAAACACCAGCCCCAAGGGAGCGAATAACTGCGCCATTCCCAAGGACACTTAAAGGAAGGTGAATATCTCTTCCCCAGGCTCCTGCACATTCCTGCCACCTTCAGTTCTCCCCTCTCTTCACCCTCACGAGCCACACAACATCCCCACATCCCCTCCCTCAGGACTCCAGACGCTCCCTCGCTTCACCACGTTCCGACAACACCCTGTCCTCCCAGCCCAGACTATTCTGGGCTCACACTGCTTTTGCCACAAAATGCCCAACCAGCTATCAACCCCTTCCCTGGAGTCCCATTACTGTCACTCAGGCTTCCCCTCCAGATTTCCCCACCCAGCACTCAAGTCTGCCTGCCTCCTCCTTTAAACTCAGCCAGCATCTTCTGCCTCTCTTCCACTTGTCATACACGAGAACCTCAGCCTTTTCACATTAGGCAGTTTACAGTCGCCTTTTTAAAATAGTTAAGGGCGTGACATATAAACACCGCTTGCCACTATCTATGTCAGTTTGCCATGGAAACCTGCTGAGTGGAGATCTGGAATGACCAAAGTGCCTAAATTCTACAAAGCCACAGAGAACTTAGTTGCAAGGACGGGGCATTTGCCTAAAACCCCAGTTGCTTTTGACGCCTACAGATGCAACCTCTCTGTGCTGCCTGGTAAAGCTGTTCAGTGAGATGGTTTGTTATTCTTACTGAAGTACTGCAAGTTTGCTTGAAAACTTCCCTTTGCCAGCTTAGTTCCCTGGAGCAGGATGGTGCTGAATTCAGGTGAAACACAGAATAAATAAGAAAGAGTAACAATTTATTTTTTTAAAAAACTGAGTGGCTCCAAGAGTCTGTCCAGGTGAAGAAAACTGACTGACGCAGCTGGAATTACTATTCTATGCAGGCATATGTAGACATTATTCTGGAATAAAAATGATTTCATTCTCAAAAAAAAACCCCAACCCACCCGGCGCTGTGAGCAAAGACTATTTTAGAGCAGAATGTCCACGGTGGACGTGCTGTGGATTATTTATTCTAGTCAACATCCAACCATACACAGAAAATTCAATATAAGTGATGAGCAGACAGAAAAACAGTAATGTATTTGGTGGAAAAGATTTGGGGCTCTATTACACCACTTGCACTGGAATGCACGCCCCCAGTGCAAGCAAACTCAAAACTCTTCACAAACATTCATTAATCCCCAAAGCAGCCCTGGAAAGAAAAAAAGCCACTCCAGATCAATCCCAACCTACAGAGAGGGAAACTGACGTTGAAATGCAAATGCCTTACTCAGGACCATGTCGCTTCCAGCAACAGAGAAGGAATTAAGGTCCTACATGCCAATCCTACACCACCCCTATAACTGATGCCAATAAGGAAAAAGGAAAAGAGAGTGGAAATAATTGAGGGACAGAATAACAGCCTGGAGGAAGACAAGACAGAAAAATATTTGGGACGGAACAGAGGAAGAAGCAGGAAGAGAGACCAGAGAGCAGGGAAGGTGGGCAGACACTCGCTGCACCAAGACACTGAAAAAAGTGAGACAATGGCAGCTTCGTGCAGAAAGGTTGAGTGTAAGGGCTGGAGATGAGGAACGGGAGCAGCACGGGAGCCAGCGGGGGAACGGAGCAAAATAAAATGAGGAAGGAGAGAAGATGCAGCGAATCAGTGAGAAAACTGACTGCCGCCTCACCTCTTGGCACTGGTAGATAGCAGCTTTGAGTTTTTACTCATGCTGACTTTGCTTTCCTTCTTCTTAGGCGTGCTTGTCTCTTTCTCTGTCTGTTGGTTGGAGGATGAAGATGAGGAGGAGCTGGTGCTGGCCCTCGAATCGTCATCCGACATAGCGACCCCCCCACCACACACCCCAACCTGGAGAGGAGACACCATGGGGCGTGGGGAACAAACAGTGAACACAAACACACAGAGAAAGGCCGCTGACAATCTCGCTCTGTGTTTGGGTCATGCTGCTTTTAAGGGGTCCTTGTTTTTCCCTCTCCTCTTTGGGCCCTACAGTCGAAGCGGGAGGAGCAGCAGCCTCCCCCTGCACTAGTAATACCGAGGAGCAGGGGGAAAGGGACTTCCAAAGCTTCCTCTCAGAAAGCAAGTGCGAAATGAGAGGAGAAGAGGCTGGAACAAGGACGATGGCGAGGATCAGGGAAGCTCAGAGCAATTCCTTCTAATCTCCCCCAAACTGCACATGCAAGAGGAGCCATCACCACCCACCACTATCCAGCCTAGGGGTGTAGGAGATAAAAATGGAACAGCTCTGGTCCCTTGGGTTCCTGGGAGGCACGTGGGGGGGGCGGGAAGGGACGGGGCTGTGGGGGGGGGTGACCGTCTCCA